GATTCGAAAGAGACACCTCGCCGCCGAAAAAGCGGCGAACACAAACACAGAAATACAGAAATCATGTCAGTAATAAATTTTATAGCATTTAATTTCCGGCCGAGGAAATATATCGATAAATCGTTCAATCGTTTTGCTCTATAATCGTTATCGAATCTCCTCGTTAGGTTTAGTGATCGGTCGACAAAACGAAACAAAAAAAAAAGAAACAGATGGAAAGAGAAAAAAAATATTTTCGCCTTGAGATACATACCAGGAGGAGAAGGTCGATCGATGTTACGAAACGATAATATCGTTGTAAATTAAATATTTTCTACAAACGCGTATGACAAATTATTTTCAGCAGTTTGTAGATTCAAGATACCGTTACTTGATCAAATAAAAATTGGATTAAGGTTGCCTGTTTCGGCAAATAAGTACAAATATATATACATACGCAAGTAAATCAATGGCAGACGATACAATTTTTCGTGCTACGTTGCAAGCTAAAAAAATTACTAGAGATACTGCAAACATATGTCTAGCGCATTTTTATTACAATTTATTAAACATGCGATTTAGTATAAAAAAATCGTACCATATGCCGTTGCTTTTAGATCATCGATCGCATATAAACGTGAATTCTCGGGAGGAATCGATAAAGAGAAGTGCTAGAAAGAGACACTCTCGAATCGCACGGTAAATGAATGGCGCGGCGGGAGAAGATGGAGGGGAGAGAAGGACGAACGATCGGCGGCGGAAGAGAGAAAAAAGAGAGAGAGAGAGAGAGAGGGAGAAGGAGGGAGGGAGAGATCGCGGAGAGGCCGGATGTGACGCGACAACGCATAACGACGACTCGCTTGTAGATTGCATTCGATGCTCGCGCAAAACCAGACGAGAGGAAGAAAAGATTGCGAATAGCGAAAGGGAAAGACAGATAGAGACGCAGAAGAGGACGGAGAATAGGCAAAGAGAGAAGAGAGAAGATCGAAATGGAGGAACGTGAGATAACGGAGTTGGCAAACATGAAGATAGCGTGGCACTGGTATTCTCGTGTTATTTGAGCGAGAGAGAAAGAACGAAGAATAAGAAGGTAGGAAAGAGAGGGACATGTATCGCGAATGAAAAGAAGAGAGAGACAGAGAGGGGGAGAGAGAGATACGCGATTATATATCGAGATTCGAGCGCGAATTTGATCCGCTACTGGGAATCGGGGGAAGCTCGATAGGCTTAGCCTTAGGATATCGAGAATACATCTATGCCGTGTAGAATTAACTTATTGTAAGATTAACGCGATCCAGGTATCGATACAGAGCGTGCGCGCATGTTTAAAGCTACACGTCAGAAGGTCGCGTGTTTCCATAAGACGTTGGACTTGTTCAAATACAATTGGATTAGTATTATAGCGATAAATGCAAAATAATGAAGAAAAATGTTTAGTTATCGACGCATATTATTCTACAGATTAATATCTTGCGTGATAGTGATGAGAAGGAAAAGTAGAAAAATAGATTTCTTTACGAAAACTAGGCTATTATATTTCTCCAACAATTTTATTATACTTTAATGTCTCTTGTAAATTGTCATTTTTTGCTCTAAAAGAAATTAAATATGTTGACAATCTTTGAAATGTGACAAACAAATTTTTCTTCGATGAATACCGCGCAATATATCGAGAATGATATCAGCCTCTTTAACTGTATCCATTAAATATACATTTAATTAATGGAGAAATGACAAAATATACATCGATAAGATATTATTTTTATCAAACTTTTAGATACAGTAATAATGTTAGATAATAATAATAGAGAGACAAATTTCGAAATTTAGATATATATTTCCTAAATGAATATTGGGCTTTTCGATATCTTGAAAATCATTGCTTATTTAGAATAAAACGAGGAATAACGGTCACCACATGCACAGACCGATAGATATGTATCTATTCACTTTTTATCGATTATGCATATTCGTATGACGCGAAAACAAAAATAAAATGAAAAGAAATATGTTACGAACAACTTTTATCTACGAGTCTATTATCGTTTCCTACTGTCAAAGCAATTAAAGTGCAATCGAGACAAATTTTTACATGTCAAATATATAATAAAATATAATAAGTAAAATAAAATGTAATATAATAAAATGAAAAGAAATATGAAGAACAACTTTTATCTACGAGTCTATTATCGTTTCCTACTGTCAAAGCAATTAAAGTGCAATCGAGACAAATTTTTATATGTCAAATATATAATAAAATATAATAAGCGTGTAAAATATTCGAAAAATTCTTCTCGAAAAGTAATTATATCGTAACGGAATGTTAATGCGCGAGTCCTCAATGAGTCCTCGACGAGTCGTACGAGTCATGCGAGAAGATGACGTTCGGATCGAACCTCGAGAGAATCCGAGGCTACTCGTTTTCGCGCGCCGGACGAGTCGCCTACTTTTGCACCATGCGTGGAAATCATGGTTTCATTCATGCCGGATCGACTTTGCGGCGTATATGGCGCGCGTGTGTGTCTCTCGCGAGGCATGTCGAGAACGTCGTCGATAGAGGTCTGCCTCGCCGAACAATCGATGTGTATCGTAGCGCGTTTGCTCGAAAGGACACGCGCATAGTCGCGCGCGCGCGAGCGCGAGCGCGCGTGTATGCGTGTGTGTGCATGCGTGTGTATGTGCGCGAAACTCGCACGGCGAGTAGCATTCACGGCGTGTGGTGCCAATGAGAGCGGGCGAACGACGTGTTCCGAGCCTCTGTGTCAATAAGCCGTACACGCGCGCGCACACACATGGGCGCCGCGCTATATCGGGTGACTCGCAGAAACGACTCGGCCGTTCGAGGACACGTCGCAAGTTAGTTTCACAAGCAACGCATTTTCAGCGGTATCCGTCGACTAACGACAAGTTGGATCCGTTGTTTATCATCTACTAGATTAAATCAACCTCCGAAAATATGATTATGCATCCGGCAAACTCTCGTACGATGAGGAAGCAGAAAAATCCAAAGCGATTAAAATCAGAGCGATCGAATCAAAATTGCGTTTCTCTTTCAGGAATATTTCTTGTAAATTTTAGATCTCGACTCGCACGACAAGTCGCCTCGAACGGCGAAGGGGAGAGAGGGAGAGAGAGAGGAGGGCATGCGCGCGCACGTGCATTTACGCGCGACGCGAGTTTTACGAAAGAGACGACGGCGCGACTTTCTCGCAAACTTTCTACACCTGTGGGTTTCATTCACCGCTTCGCCCCTGTGACTGGTTCGGTCTCTATGAAAGCGTAGTGTGACTCAATGCGCGCAACGAGTCACGCTGGTCTAATCGCCGATGGAGTTGGCACCAAGTCGCGCGACCTCGTCCAAGAGAGAGCGACGACGCGGCGAAGGAGACGGACAGATTTATTGTGTTCCGCGAGAAAATTCGCCGAGAACAAATATGCAATCGACATAGATCCAACTATGCGAGCGGCTAAAAATATTGACGGAAAGAGAGAGAGACGAGAAAAGGGGAAGCATCTCTTAAGAAGATTTCAAATTCAATTTTCATTTATATTTATAATCGAGCTCCTAAAAAAATGTTAATTAAATCTCAAACAAACGCAGGTGCCGTCTTTGTAATATTTTCATTAATGCGTGTATTGCATGTAACTTTTTTTTAATCATTTGTATACAAAAAAAATATGCGACGTAATTCCGAGGGGATTTACTTCTCGATCCGATGGATTAAGCGGCCGGGAGAACGACGCAGATATTTTTCGGAGCTTTATCGCTCCCGATCGAGCGATGATTAGCGCCGGCTTGGAAATAACAAGGCGAAATTTCGTAAACGAGCACGCGGTTTCCAGATTTACCCGCGTTTCCTCTCTCTCTCTTTCTCTCTTTCGTCGCGTGTCGTCTCGTTTCCAAATGTTTCGTCTGCGTTTCGCCAAGAACGCGACGTGTAAATAGTGTCGCGAATGTAACCGATATAGCTATCGGTCTACATGGATTTTTGTACGAATCAAAAAATCCAAATATTTTCAATTTTGTATTATCTCGATATCGAATATTCAAATATTCGGCGCTTAAATTCGAGTGGAAATTTTTCCGTAAACTAAAATTAATCGAAACTTAATAGAATTCACCGTAAATCTCGTACAAAGCGATTAACATCGTCAACGACCGAAATTTTCAGGACGTTAATCATCTTTCGACTCGCAACAGCGTCGAGACGAAGCGTTCGTTAGCTTCGGGTCACCCCGTATGCCGTTACTAATGACACACAAGCGCGCTGTGAATCGACGGTTATGCGCTCATTACGAAACCCCGGTTCTCTTCTCGTCGACTACGAGAGTACGGGCAAATAAACAGAAGCGGAGCGAGATGAACAAAAAAAAAAGGAAAAAAAGAGAAGCGTCGGCAGCCAGTTGGTCCGGGTCGTTTGCCCGTCAGCCGTCCATCCCGGATGTTGTTTTTCCGACGAAATCGTTCGATAAACTTCCAATCGACCGCGCCGGAAGGCACGTATCTAGCGGAATGTCGAGATATCCGTCATTTTCACCTGTGCGCGATACACCGTCTGCGCGCTATTCGCCGATAGCGCGATATCGCGAATATTACCACGTATTAGCGAGCAAAGATGGGTAACCACGTGATATTCGTCACGTCAATTTGGAGACGGAGAGTCGGAGATAATTATGAAAAATGTTCAATGCGCGCGATAATTCCACTTGCCCTTGTTCCGAAAACTAAACATTTTAATTTTTTTCATCATCTTTATGCAATCGCGTATAATAATAAACTATCGACAGATTTCGAGAAAATGTGTTTCACTCAATCAAGGAGACTCCTTTGAAGGTGCCGACAAAACTCACGTGACTCGCACGTCATAGAGAAAGAGAGAAGGAAATTAATTTTAAATTAATTAGAAATTCGCGCACTCGTCTCAAAGGTGCGACTACCTCGGAGCAGCCTGGAGAACGGTCGTTGTACGTCACTCGCGAAATAAAAAGGCAGGTGATGAAGAAATTGGTGCACTCACCGGTACGACTAGGAAGCCGTGGAGGCGCAGGATACTGGGGCGGCGTCAAGAGCGGCGGCTGCGGCGACACTCGAACAACGGCCGAGGAGGTCGTTGAGCCTTGGGGGGACGTGGACAACGTGGCTGGCACAATCGCGGCCGCTGTCGTCGTCGTCGTCGTCGTCGTCGTCGGCAGCGGCGGCGCCGTCGTCGTCGTAGCCGCCGTCGTTGTCGTATTATTCGCCGTCGACGCCGGACGTCGCGGCGCGTCGCACCTTAATACGACGGCGGCGTTGAGCGGACGCCGCGGGAGCAGCGCCGGGAACGGGTTGTTGTCCGAGGTATCCACACTTTCGGCACTTCCGTTTCACTCGTACTCCTCTTTTACCACGATTTTTTTACCCAAGATCTTTTTCTCCTACGTACGAAACGTCGCGCACTCGCAGGGGAATATATTACGCGTGTCGTCGCGTACGCCAACGTATGTATCGCGGGTGCATTCGCGAATCACGACGCCAGAGTACGGTTCCCGACTCGCCACTTCCGGTGCAACCGAGAGAGACTGAACGTCGGTTCGTGAACTCAAATTCCACCTCTTCCCGCTTCTCCTTCTTCTCCCTTCCTTCTCCTCCTCTTCTTTCTTCTCCAACTACTACTCTACTACTGCCGTACCGTTGCCGCTGCGGCTGCGGCTGCGGCCGCCGCTACTAGTGTACTACTACTACTACTACTACTACTACTACTACTACTACTACTACTACTACTACTTCTCCTCCCCGCTCGCACTTCCGGCACAGGTCACAACGTCACAGCACGCAAGCACATACGTATCTCCCAAGGCGAGCACGATCCGGGAGTGCGGAAACGACATTAGAGGCGAGTCGGAGCGCACGCGCGCTTGCGCGCGCGCGCGCAAGCTCGCTCGCTTCGACTTCTCTCGACTCGATCGAGAATGCGGCGAGCAACGCCGCTTCGCGTCCGGAACTGGATAGACCGGCCACGAATGTAGCGAACGAGACAGAGAGGAGGAAACGGAATGACGACCGAGAGTAAAAGAGAGAGGGGGAGAGAGAGAGAGAAGAAGAGAGAAAGAGAGAGAGAGAGAGAGAGAGGGACACGCGCGCGGTGACACAACACAGCGACGACGGAGAGATCGGTACACCGCGGGGTCCTCTCGCGCACTGGCCAACACATACGACGAGGCTCTCTTTCGGTGCCCCGACACGACGCGCTCTCTCGCCTGCCTCTTCCCTCTCTCTCTCTTTCCCGCAGACCGCGTACGCGCTCGCTCTCGAGCGACGAGGAGGGAACCCGCGCGATTACTACCAACGCGCGAGACGGAGATGGACAGCGCGGCACGAGAGAGATAAAAGTATCGGGGAAAGAGAGAGAAAGAGAGAGACACGCACACGGAGAGATTAAAGTGGGGAGAGAGTTGGAAAGAGAAAGAGAGAGAGAGACAGAAGAGGGAAAAGAGAAGGAGAGCCGATTGAATCTCGCGTAGGCTGTCTGCCAGTAAACAGGCTCCTTCATTCACTGCTTATTTTATACGTACGGCCCCTATATGCCCCACAGAAATAGCCACTCTCGTCCCGTCCTCGTCGCTCGCTCGCACGCACGCACGCACGCACGCACGCACGCACGCACGTACGTTTGTACGCACGGGCCGGATACGCTCTCTCGCGCTTGCGTCTCTCTCTCTCTCTCTCTCTCTCTCTTTCTCTTTTCCAATCCGACTCTCTCCCCCCGTATTTCTGGCTCTCCTTTCTCTCGCGCTCCCGCATTCGTGTCACGCGGCTCGCATCTCGGATAATCGCGTTGGTCTCGGTGAAAAAATGCCAAGCGGGAGTACGTCGCGCTCCTCCTCACGCATCCTTCCACCCTCTCGGCGACCTTTTCTCCCCGGTGTCCTTTCCCTCCTCCTTCGACGGTTCGTTGTCTTCTGCTGTAAACGGTAGCGCGTTGTCGACGACGATGACAGGTGCGTAAACACTCTTTCGGTGACGTCTCGTCGAATCTGTGGGATTTATGGATGGTTAATGCCGATGGTAAAGAGTTCCTTTCACTCGTGCGTCTTTATCGTCGTCGCCTCGACGACGGCGAATTCGTATCTGTTTCGCGAAAATTCCGTCTTTCAACCTAATCGGAGCTTGCTTCCCGAGCGTGCAACGCGTCTTTGATGACGACACGCGCCAATGACGGCAGCGACGATTTTTCGGCGAGGAGCAGGGGGGAGGGATAGATACGATGTCGCACCTTCTCACCGGATAGATAAATCGGGCTAGCGAACGATGGGATAGGGGTTTGCGCCTCCGCCGCTTCTCCCGAATGGCGAGCCTCCGGGTCGCGCTAATGTGTATTACACACACCCTACGCGCACTCAAACACGCGCGCGGGTCTCCGAGATACCGGGTGATGTATACTTGCGCGCGCCTCCTCTACCCTTCCTCGTCTCCCGCGTGGCCGAGACGAGGACGGTGGAATTGCGAGCGGGCAGAGTGGAAGGAAGTAAAAAGAGACGGAAAGGAAAGGCCGTCAGGGGAGTTGGCCGAAGGGCGAGCAGCGAGGAGAAGCAAGGAGGACGTGGAGGCAACGATTGCGCGCGCGCGCACACGCGTCGCGTACGCGCGTCCGCTCGCTCAGCCGAGCGGAGTGAAGTTGCGCGCGGGAGAGAGAGAGAGAAAGAGAGAGAGGCGAAGGTTCAGCTGGCCTCGGCAGCCATGCCGGTGGACGGATCGCGGCGAGGGCGAGTCAGGCGCGTATTATCTCGTCGCCGGGGCCACCGGTCGAGTCTCCTCCGTCGACTCTTCCTCTCGATCCTCTCTTCCCGGACGAATATTCCCCGACTATCTCGGATCCCTGTCCGCCATTCGGGACCCTCCCGGTCGACGCGACGCGACGTGACGTTTCCTAACCTCCTTCGCGTCACCCTAGTCGGCGGCATTCCATCGACGGACACCGCGAAGATTCCTCGCCGGTCCTCGAGGCTCGCACTCGCGTGGACATCTGTCACCGGCGGGACGTGTCCGGCAGATGCTACCGCGACGGATGACAGGACGTTCGCGCAATGTCCAACGAATCGCGTCCCGCCGCTTCCACGAAACGCGTTTTCGTAAGGTATCGCACAACGACTCTACTCGCAAACACGGCGGACTCGCTACTGTTTTTCCTTCTCTCTCTCCTTGTCTCTCCTTGTCCAGCGGCGGCGATCTCTGGAACGACCGGATAGCACACGGCGCTGCTGCGGCGACGTAAACTCCTCACTCACACGCGAACACGGCGAACGGCGCACGGCGCTTCTCTCTCTCGTCCACCGTAAACGAGGCGCGCATGCGCCGCGCTCTCTCGCATTGAAAGGCGTGCGCGCGCGCGCCTCGCGCATCCACCGAGGCACCGTGACATTTGCGAGCCTTCTCCCCTCTCCCCAGCCCAGCCCGCGTTCTCCTATACTCGACGAGTCGGACGCGATACTTCATTCATGCTCGTATTGTGCGGCCAGGACCGACCCGCCGAGCCGCGATACCACGCTCGAGTAGACAAATTTTTCACCAATTGCATTTCCCGATTATAAATCCAATTTCCTTTCGCTATTTCTCTCGTTGTTTTATTATACTCGATGTATATCGAACATGTGCGTTTATTTCTACAGAGTAAATTTCCGATCTATTTATTTTTTCTCACATGCTATCGCGATTGAAAAGAAAGTCTCTCCTCGTAATATATATTTTATAAATTTTACGCGTCGTTTTTTGCCAATTTCGCTTTCCATCCTTTTCCCCCCTTTTTGCAAAAAAATTTGATCCTTTCCGCCTACAATTTCCGTTTGCCCTTGCATGCGCGTAATAATAATTAATTGTTTAAAAAGACGGTAGTCGAGCCGAGGTAGGCTCTCCCCGGAGGACGCTCGAGGGGAGCACGGCAATAGTAGAATGGGTGTATCCGTTCAGGTGATCGAACGTTGTAACACACGGATCCTGCGGCGCGTATAATAGTATCGGGCTCTCCCACATGTCGGAGCGACTCGGTTCTCTTCGTAAACGTCCGACTACATCCTCTTTCGTCCTTGTCGCACGCCCTTTGCGAACCGTCGCTCCCTCTCCCGCTCCTCCGCCCTCCTCTCTTCTCGCTCCCTTCCTCCTCCTCTTCCTTCTTCCCCTCCTCCTCCTCCTCCTCTCCTGCTCCGCAACATTCTACGCTCGTTCCATTTGCTCGCGGGTATGTCGTACGGAGGTGCCGTGCGTGTATTAAATATATGTTTGTAGACGCGTTGCTCCTCCTATATACCCACCTAGGCAGACGGAAAAGGACGTCGAAAAGGAGAAAGATAAGGAACAGACGTGTCCTTTTCGTCCTTTTCACTTTTGGCGAAAACATAACGCACTTCCAGAGATGTATCGCGCGAAAATAGAGTCCTATAAATTTGTTGAATATTTTTGTACGCTTTTCTCTACGTGTTGATGATTATGTTGTATTACAAGTCACATTTTCATACGTTACTAATGCAATTATTCAACTATGTATAAAAATTATACGTACAATTTTTATTAAAATTTTTATAAAAGTTGAGCTCTTTCCCTTTCCCGTTCAATTTATAGCATGATTGGTCGTATGAAAAATGACTGCGTTCAAACTGGGAACCTTATTTTATATAAACAACAGTTTTACTTGATCAGATTTTTTATCTTAATAAAAAGAAAGAATGAGATAAACCGAGGAAACGCTCGTCGTCAATGACGAACGCTAGAGATAACCTCTGGTAAAGCGTAACATACACCTCGTAAAGATTCAAGACTGCATTCATTCATAATTTGCATCATAATATATTGGAAATCTTGTTGCAAGCAAGACACGCGCGTGTAGATTTCAATGCTTTGATATCGTTCTGCGTTTAACGAGAAGGATTGTGCATCTTGCAAAATTACAATCTAGTAGTTTTTTAAAGAAATTTATAAATTATACGTGTATATATAATTCTTATACATTTTATGTGCAAATAATATCAGACTTTTTTCGATCGACTTTTCGCATTAATTAAAGTATTTGTAAAAATATTAAAAACACACATCGGTCAATGCCACTCTAATCGCAATTTTCATAAAAATAGTAATGATTTTAATAAAAATGAAGCATCTTTCGATGGGAAAGATCGAATGAATCTCAGAGAGCAACAGGACGTACTTGAGGAGCGCCTTGGCTTATCTAATAAGGTAATACGTGCGAGAACGTTATATCGAACACGTACGCATGTATGGGAAGGCTCAAGGTCCCTATGGAGTATTAGGTTAGCGTTATTTTAGATCGGGTTACACCACCCTACAGTCTTTGCGAATTTGACACCGAGGCGCGCACCTGTCCAAAAGTGGCCGTGGGGTACAAAAGTTGAACGAGAACAGTACCTCCCGAGGATTGTCGCTACCGCATTAAGCTTTTTTGCAACGCTATATTTCCGTGGAACCGCTACTGCTTCACATTCATCATTTTATATTTGTGTCTATGAAGCATACTCGAGCCATACTGAAAAAATATCAAGTATATTTATCATCAATTTACTATCTATCAGCTGTCAATGATTTTTTTAACCTTACGTTTGATCTTTCGCAGATGTCAAACGCTTAAGATTGAAATTGAACAGTCGAACGATTCTGGTCGCGATGAATGCTTAGAATTTATTGGAGATATTCCTGGAAGGAAAGAGAGTATAATAAAAAAAAATGGCAAAAGAGGGCGACTTGTTTCTCCAATAATATTTGTACGATTGTTAATAATTTTTTCAAATAAAAAAAACACAATCATTAATTATATATCGTCGATGTTTGTCGTATCCGAGATTTGATATTGTGAAAAAAAGGAAGAAGAGACTTTTTGTACGATTCTTTCTATCAAATGCGCTTCGATGAATTCGCTTGCGTAGAATCGAATCATTATGGAATAACGATGGCGTTGCAACCGGAGGCAAAATATGACGTACTTTATTCCGAGAAGCGGCAAAAGGCACTTCCTTCCTCGATGCCACGATATTCATCGGTCGATTCGTGATTCAACCGACAGTACAGCGAATGTTCATCACGAGACTCACTCAAGTCTCTCTCACTCGCTTCTCCGAAACGTACACATAAATGTCGAGAGCATTAATATGAAAAACGCAGAGTGTTACAAGGCAGCTGACAATCGATCGATTTATACGTCATTCTCTCTCGACGAAGAACGGATGTATCAATCTATCCATTCAGATAATAATAGCGAGCATTCGTAACTCGATTTAATCAAATAAAAGTAGATGGAAATGAAGTAGATAGAATTGATGAAATGCTTGTGAATTTTTCATTCAATTTTTAATACTCTGATTGAGCGTAAATTAATTCGCAAAATCATCATACGTACGTATCAATCATATCGATACGTCAAAATACGAAATTATTTCCGCCGGAAATTATCGAATAATTATGATTGAAATGTCATGCAAACGGAGCGCTAAAAAAGGACAGGTATTTGCCCAATTTGTTCGTGTCATCTCGCATTATGCTCGACGCGAGACAAATAACTCGCGTTGGCTGAACAATCCAATCGACGCAGCCTCGGCTGTCTTTTCTCGGCCATTTATACTGTTAGTAATACGAGCGACGACGTTTATATCTACACGCCACACGGGCGTGGCGGCGATGCGAATCGCGTGCACCGCTTCCCTCGGAGAGGATATCCGGTGTGGAAACGCTTCCCCTCCCGTTCGGTTCCCTCTCGTATTAGCTGTCTCCCTCTCTTTCTCTCTCTCTCTCTCGGTTTCCCTCTGTCTTGCTCGATAGAATCGCGCGTATATCGTTCTCCGCTCCCCCTCCCTCGACGTCATTCTTCTTTCATAGCACGGTAACAGCACGTCCTCAATGAGTCGACGAACACACAGTCGCATTCACGTCGAAAGTTTTACTTTACGTGAAATACAAACCCGTGATGGGACTTTTCGTGAATGGGCCCGGGTCGCAATTCATGCTCGTTCATTCGTAAAAATCCCCTTTGAGACTTTGTTGGCTCTTTTCCAAGTTTTTCCATTTTCTTTCTTCTCCTTTAATCCTCAGAGTCAGGTCAATAATGAATTAATTAGTAGTAGCAACTTATAGAATTTGGATTTAAACATCTCTCTAATTGATGACGCGCAATTTTTATATCTCTAATGTTTGAAATTTTAGAAACCGAATTTTGAATTCCAGATCTAAACGTATTCATAGGAAACAATCCGAAACGTGTTGAAATTTAAAATGTGAAAATTTAGAAATGTAAATCTTCAACGATTAAGATTCCTTTCCATAATTTCATTGGAAACTTTTAGATTCTTTCCTCGTTTTCTTCTCAGTATTTTCCTGCGCCATTGCTTTCAGTAATTGCAAGGTTAATTGTCTCTAATTAAGTAAGTCATTCGGGCGATATAAAGAAATTAGTGTACTCGGAATAGCAGTGGCGAAATGTTATCCTCATTTTCACAATTATATTTTTCCTACTCGCCCTGTTTCGTATTTTCGAGATCTATTTTTTTATCACGTTTTTATCAAGAAGGTGTATCGCAACGTTGAGTATTTAATTACTGTACCATGCTGCACTTTGCAAAAACGATAATAAAATATCTATTATTAAAAACTAAGAATCTTTGGCTCTTTTCATCCTCGAGACAAATATAATACGCTCTCTCAAAATTTAATCATTTATTTCACGGACAGAACATTATATATTTGTAAATAATTATATATTTTTTATAGCGTCATAGATGTACAGTACCGGTCAAAAATATATCACCTTTATATTTTTTTAGGATAACTTAATTCAAGGTGCATATATTTTAATCAATTTTTCTTGAGTTTGTCCGTTTTCATTATTGAATAAAAAGTTTATTATTCAGTAATTTACATATTAAACATATTTGACTAGATGGAAATATATGCACTTTGAATTAAGTTATCTTAAAAAAATATAAAGATGATATATTTCTGACTGGTACTGTAGAGATTCATTGAACATAATATATAAAGATTTGAAATTGTGATTACGAAGAACATAATGTTTTCATATTTTCAAGAACGGCCTCGGATACGGTAATGGCTTAACGTAACGTTAGCAAAGACTCGAGTGACGTCGCGTCGCGATGCAGCTTGTAAATCATTCGATTTCGCGTAAATGCTGACCGAGCGAATCCGCGTGATCAATGCGCGAGCACGTGCGCATGCAGTTGCACCGACACGGTGCGTCGTGCATCGCACAGTCGGAGAGAGGCGCGAGGACAACCTGCAGATGCATGAATGACTCGAAAAATGACGCGCGCGTTTATTGAGCGCTCTCGGCTGCTCCCAGCAAGGACACAACATATATTTTCCGACTTCAACTAGCGACGGGCTCGAACAGCTCGAGAATCTTAATCACGAGTCATCGAGCTTCCAACGCACGAGTTTACATCGTATACACATATATAAGCGATTTTTTCCGCAATTTTAAATTGGAAATTTAAATTTGTCCCCGAAAGAAATTAATTTTACATATCTTCGATAAAAATATTTTTTCTAAATATAAATAATCGATTATATTTTGCGACAGTTTCCTTTTTTGCTAAAGTCACCTTTATTAAGATGATGGGCACGTGAGCATACATTAAAATTTATTTCATATTATGTTTGCGTTATGATTTGCATTCCTTGACAATTATACACAGGAGACTTAAAATACTTTGGAGGGAGAAAAAAACAAAAGAAAAGCAAGCACGCATCGGCGCATAATAAAATAATAGGCAAAATAAGAGAGCGACGGACGCGCGCGCGAGACGAAATCACATCGTAAGCCCGATTAAAATTTATGACTTACGTAAACGAATATGTTTCGAATCGCAGCGACGAAAATGTGTTTCTCGATTCCGCGCGCACAATCGATCTTGCACACCCGCAAGATCCTATTATTGTCACTTCCGGCGGCGTAAAAAAAAAGAGGAGGGTGAGAGATCTGAAGAATTTGAGAATGATACGCGATCTATATACGACACTGCGTAACGTTACACGTCATCGTCGTCATCCTTCTCGTCGTCGTCGATTTATTTCTCGAGTTTCTTTCCGGCGTTATTGCCACTCTCGGCCAATTAAAAACGCGTGTTCCCACGGTCGGGGTGTATTGCCGAATGTCTTAATAAGGGAACATGCAATGAAGATTTAAAAAGCGGAAAAAGAATTCATAAATTTATGAGCTTTTTTTCCTAAAAAAGGTTTTACGATTTTTAATTTCTATTTACGCACATTTGATTTCGATAGTTTTTCAATGAATAGCAGGGCGCGATTGTTTAAGTAAATATAAACATAGACTACGTTGTCAGCGTGAAAGAATAGAGACAAAAATGATCTTTATTACATAAGACTGCTTATGAATTATTGATCTTATTCCTGAAATGTTTACTTTTCTATTGTTGCACATGTCAAAATAAAATGTTTATTTTTTGCGGAAACATTTTCCTTTCCTGTGTGTAAATCTATTCTGTAGAAAGGACGCATTTTTGATATTTGCATTTCTTAAACATTATAACAAAATTATAACAAAATTAGAATTTTCTCGTCGAGAATTTCATTCGTTTAAAGAAGTCTATTGTACAAACAAATCATCAAATTGCATAAAATTTGGAAGAAGGCAAATTCGAATCTGACAATTATTGCAATACCTGCAATATAATACATGATTGTAAAAAATTCTTACGAAAATGTACACAATTTATTTTTAAACCATGAGGATATATATACTTACTGATGCGAGCATATTGGATATATGTCTTGAATGAAATGATAAAAACTTGATCAAAAGTCCGGAGACCAAGGATAGCACAGTAATGAATGAGAGCATCGGCGCATGTATGAAGAGAATATATATGTATATAAACAAAATACCTTTTTTTTTCTTTCCCTTTTCTGCGAAAGTAATCTTTATTTTCCGTTCCCAGTATATATTTTATTCGTCTTATACAAAGAGATTACATATACAAAACAGATGAGGTTTTCGCACGATTCTTTCATTCATTAGAGCTATGTGTTTCTTCATCCCCTCTCCTCCTCTCTTTCTCTCTTCTTTCTATATCTCCACTTTTCCACGTATCTACAACGTCGTTGCCACCCACGACATTCCATCCGGAGTGACTCTCTCCTTTTCGCGATCGCGCACTTCCAAGAAGCTTCATCTCCGATGCGACTGGCTCTAACCTTTTCTTCATTCTCATCGTCGACAGGATATAAAAGTACTTCGAGGTACTCTGTAAATACTCCGAATGCAATCACCGAATCCAATCGCACCTCCTCTGTCGATTGTCTCCGAGACTTTGCGAATCGAGCATGCGATTTTGCGAGGACGTGGACGAGTTTAAGTTTCGTCTTTGCACGCTCTTTAACATAAGTCTTAAACGCCTGATACTTTCGGCGGAAGCATGAAAGGATGGAAGAAGCGTCGATTCGCAATCAAAATGGAGGAAATTTCCAACATTGTCGTTCACACTGTCGATGCATATTTTAACGATATAATATTCTTGATGATCGAAATTGTTGATCTGACGACGATGCAGGAGACGTACATTCGGGTTTGCGACGTGGAACCCGTTGGCGAGCCAAACTTCTTGCCGAACAGGCGCCGGAAAAGCAAGAGGTCCTTGGATAATGCCGCTATCGTGATTCTCATCATATCCTAGAGTATCTGGAAGAGTTTTTTCAGTTCCACCATGAGCTGCCAATCGGTTTTCAGCAAATCGTCTCTAAAGTATTCCTTGCAGGCGTCTATGCTCTGTCTGCTTATCTGTAACAGTTTGAAAAATACCGCTTTAGCTGATTGTGTTATTATCCAAATTATTGTTTCCGATACTACAAAATGTACAACGTAATTATAAATTTTTAATTTGTAATTAAATGATAAAATAGATTCTTCTCTCTCAATTATTTTATCTAAGAAAGAATTAAAACGATAGAAAGCGGAAATTTATGTATTTTCATTTGAATAAATATTTATCTATTATTAATGAAAAAAAATTGTACTATTCTTTTATATTTTATAAAAAGACTAAGAAAAGAAAGGGGCTCTCATTTACTTCCTATACTTTTTCGTAATACTTGAAAAAATCTACGCAAGTATAAGAGTTAGTTGAAGACTCTTGAGTAATGTCTGTATAATCCGTAAATCAGAGATAACCCGAGCGTGAATATAATCGAGAGTAGATTGCAGGCACCACTCATCCGTGAGCGCTTTAGGGGAAAAAATGTAGCGTCACATGTTACATAATCGAATGACGCAACTATATATAATATAACGGAAACGCAAGCGTCATTCATGTGACGTGACAGGCAATGTGTTGAAGGCGAAATCTCGATAAAGCAACAGCACCGACGGTAATCGCGGCAGCTGCGGCGTTTTCGAAGCGTGCGTGTCTTTTTAACGCGCCGGCCGGCACCGTGGATAATTTTCACGTGTGACGCTTTTCGCAAATAGAGAAGCGCAAGCGCAAGCGTGCGCGCGCGCACACCAGTCGGAAACGTAACGCTTCACAACTGTTTCCGCCCCCACTCCCGGCCGGAAGTCCCGTTTCATTCATGGATCGGTCACAATGGTGGTTTTACGCGGCTATTGAGGACGCCTGCCTCCCGCCACGCCCCTTCTCGCTCCTTCTCTCCTCTTCCCGTACCCATGGCTTCTGTCTCTCTCTCTCTCTCTCTCTCTGTTTCCTATGTTCTCTCTACGGTACTGCTACTTTACCGTCTCTCTCTTTTTCGTCCTCCTTCCCTCCTCCGCGTTTCCCCACCTACGTCCGTACCGTATTACCGCTCGTAAAGTACGCGGAACGTTGAATATACAACAGTTCGCGGTAATCATAAAAAATTTCACAGACGGCGCGAGGCGCACAACTAATTTAAAAGTTTAAGTTTTTTGCGTGAAATCCGCGATCGCGATTACGCGCTTCTCGGATGTTATTATGCAATTTCGGCCTCTCTGACGAAAAAGCGTGATAAGATTACGCGATCGCGCCGAATCGATTGACGAGAGGCGGAGAGAGAGAGACAGAGAGAAAAACATGTTATTCCTTCGAAAACTACCGATTTTATAAACGATGAAATTTTTTTTTTTTAAGTAACATTTGCAATGTCATTAAAATGTTTCGCGCAAATTTTATTTCCGCGATCCACATCTTCGTTTCCTCGAGCCAAGATTAAGAACGAACTATTTCCGCGTTTGAATAAATAAACGCATCTTTGAGAGATGCGGCGAGGAAAGCAAGCCGAGAAATATTATTGCCTGATGCGAAACAAGCGAAGCAAATGTTCTTTGCTGAAAGCAGGAGTGAAAACATTTGTGTTTCAAACTACAAGGATACGAAGCAAAAAATATTCTACATTTCCTTCATATTTTAAACTCACTTTAGACGATCCATAATTTGTATGACGGAATTCTTTTTCTAATTTTATACGTCATGTAATATGAAAAATAATTTTAAAGAATCAGAATATATACAGCAAAACGATAAATAAAACTTTATTCTAAATTCTGTCATAAATTGTTTAAAGTGAATTTTATATATAGTCTTTATTACTGAGCATTTTCATCTTTTGTACGTGTAAAAAATATATATACTTTTCTTATATATATTTTATAGTATTTTCTTATAAATATGTCATATATTGATCGGATAATCAAATTGTACAATTGCAATTGAGAGAATTAATTTTGTATTTACTACTTATACCTTCCACTTTTAATAGACTCTTGCTCGTAGAAGCAAAAGTTTCAACTTTAATGCAGAAAATACTCTTTTGTATAATCATCTCTCCTACATTTTTAAAGTAAAAAAAAAAAAGATTAATGCGTCCGCACCTTTTTATTCGTTATTACTTCTCGCCTCATATTTATTTGAGACATTTTCGAGCGAACAAAAGCAAAAGCGTTTGCTTCGCTTCAAGTACGAGTCGACACGTCGGCGGAACAACGGCTTCGGGAGAATCATCGTGGGAACAAGATACTTCCGGAACTGATTCCACGAACCAAACGGTAACGACGACTTCCGCTTGCCTACCAAAGCACAGGAAGATGTTTGAAGCACGACGATAGAACAGACTCGTGGAAAGGAGGAGGAAAAGACGGAGGGGGGCGGGGGGGAGGTAAGGAGGGACGAGAGAAGGGAGGAGGAAGAAAGAATGAAGATGAGACGTCGGTTTGTACGCCGAAGAAAAGACGCCCGGTAGAGTTTCCCACAAGGGAAGAAGCCTACGAAACATCCGTCTTAATTAACGATCGCAACAGTCTTTACGCTTACATTTCCTCGAGAATAATGTAACGGCGAGAGAGACGGAGTAATTGAAACATGATTCATTCAGCTTTAAATCTCTATTAATCTCTTTACATATAAATGTAATCTTTGTTATATTTATATCTCATGTATGGAATTCTTTTAGGTTTACGTGAAATAAGATTTTAAAATTGTTATCTCTTTATTTTATTCCGTTCTATAATATTAATATTAATATTATATATATCTATAATATTAATATTATATATATCTATAATATTATATATATCTATAATATTAATATTATATATATATTATACAATATTTAACGCGGTTAAACTTTTATATTCGTTTTATCTGAATGTTTGAAAAGACATGCCTATTTGCATAAACTTTCTCAATCATTTGTCGAATCGTATAAAGGCATAAAGATCGTGTTTTAATAATATAATATAAAAAATAAAAACTTTATATATGATTTATAAGATGGATCATAAAATTTATATATAACTCCTTTAATTTTATTAATTTTCTTAAAAAAATGAATCGTATAGATCCCAAAGCATCAATACTTTATTAAGTTTATGATATCTACTAAAGCTTAAAGTGTGTCGAGATATATTAAAAGAGATAAGATAAAACAGTGATATTACATTTCGATCCATACGGAGGCGTTATTTTGTATGATTCAAGTAATGAATAATCATTGCTGAATGAGCATCCGTGCATATGTGTGTGATGATTATCATGTACGATAATAATTATTATAGTAAAGAATTTGTACGAGCGTTAGAATAAAGTTTCCGAACGATTCCCTTCGTCGATTTATAGTCGATATTCTGGCTTGCAGGAGGAAGACGAAAAAGGAAAAAGAGTAGAAAGCAGAGGGAGAAGGGAGAGCGAGGGGAGAAGATAGCGAGCTTCTACGAAGGCCGGAAGCCGACGGCGGACGGGCGATCGTCGCCGGATGTTCATCTTCCTTTTTCGATCTAGGTCTCGCATACTAACAAGTCGAATTCGCGTCAAGGCGAAAACGCGTTTCTCAATTTCGCATAGCCTAACGTAAGTAAAGTAATATGCAATTAAATGCAAATTAATTAAAATTATCAAGCTTAGAGTTAATCGATTTAAATTTTTCCATCAAAGTATATTCGAACAATGCGTATAAGAAATTTAATTATAAACAAGATTGATATTATATCTAAGAATTAAAGTTGCTCAAGTTATAATCGTAATAATGTAACAATAACATTATTGCATTTATTCTTCTATCATTTGTATTCGGCTGAAAGTTGAAAATTTTTCTTTCAAATTATATAATCGTATCTTATAATTTCTTCTTGTATTTAAGGTAAATAAATTGATTGGCAAGCTGATGATTAGTGCGCTTACCTTGCTGACGAGAAAATCTTTCGCTTCAAAGTGACGACCAAACATTTTCGGAGCTTCTCCCGGTACAGGCTCAATTTTGATACACACCTCTTGACCTTTCCTGGCCGATTCCACAGATTTGTGATTGTATTCTATGCTAGTTACCATGCCCAAGTCAACAAACTGAAACAATAGATTAAACGATAGATAAATATTATTATATGTTACACATGTTTAATATCAATTTTATACAAATGTCAAAATTTCAAAATAATGTATCTCTCTCAAAAGAATTATCTCGTATAATATATAAAGAATAATATATAAAGAAAGTAAAACAATGAGCAATTTTGAAATTTGGTCTCGACGAAACAATTGACAATTAAAGTCGAAATAATGCGAAGGCCTGTCGTCATGTTTTCCTCCCTGTCCCCGCAGTAATACAACGCTATTTCATTCACGTGTGCGTACGCTTGATTTAGCATCGTATCGAATGCTCGAACGTGATTTACCGCACGATCTAGCGAAACAGGTCTCTCTGTGGCATAACGAAGCTCATAGTAGCACGACTTTTTCTTTTTTTTCCTTGCCATCGATCGTCGGTGTCTGGTCGCGTGGGTATAACTCTACGCCTAGGCACACCTTTACCGCGACCGGAAGTCGGGACAGCCGAGTACCTGAGTAGCACTGCCGTGCCATGCCGTGCCGTGTCTGCCTCGCAACCGAGACGTGGGTACGCATTTTCGTCGAGAATATCGGCGAGAATCGGTGAACCAAGTAGGTGGGCGATATCCCCCTCTTCCATCCCCTTCTTCTCGTAGGTCGACATAGTAGGTTGACCGATGTTGCAGGATGTTTGCGAATATCCCGCCAAAGATTTAACGACCGCGCGTGTCAGGATTTTTAATCCCGATTATCTCGCATAAAGCAATAACGTTTGAAATATTTTGAAAGAGAGAAAAAGAAGAATGAGGATTTTTCATTCAAAAGCGAGCCAGCTGTGTACCTTGCCCATCTTTCTTTCTCACTTTTAAAAATAATCATGTTTAGTTAGTGTTTTCTACTTCATTGTCGATTGTGACAACTGATGTTACAATCGTAAAAAAAAGAAAGATATTTTCTAGAGAATCATCAATTTATTATCTTTCTCGAGACACGTTGTTCAACGGTGTTTTATAGAGCAAAAAAAACCGGAGTATGTTGCTCCGACACACCTGTGACTGCGGGAGTGCAAAGTGGGCGACAAACCCGGATAAATGTGGTCGCGTTCAGAGGATTTGCAAGAGCGATCAGCTACGGTTAAAAAAGATTTGCAGCTTTCATAATTCTCTCTCTTTCTCTCTATTGTCGACGATACGTTAAATTGAATTATGTGATGTAATTAATGCTCTTAATGTCTATTATTTCGCAAATACTTCAATGTTTATAAAAAATAATTCATTAAGATAAAATAATTAAATGTATTAATTATGCATACACGTATTATATTTATGGCAAAGAAAATGGAAAAGAGAAAATCTACTTTGTGGACAACTTGGACAATCTACAACATGTTAAGAAGCCATAATAGAGGAAATCATGTAGCGCAAAAATTTCATTTCAAAAATTTTATCTCAATCGCAAAACTAGAAAGACGTTGAAAATTGCGATTGGTGAGGCAAAGCGAGATAAAGTCGATACAGATCGCAATTCGCGATACAGTCACGGAGCTAGTAAGTAACGTTATCGTTAGGTGGATGACCGGTCGATGTATGCCCACCCGTATATTCCGAAACCTACGCCAAGAGAATAATATGCTCGTTCAACCGCGCGGCTGGTCGAACGAGACACCCGGTATTCCCGTCAATGTTCAAATCGAGGCAATGCTTTTCAATGTTTTTAAAGTAGAGAATGATAATAAAATATCAATAAATAAATGCAAGCTGTCTAGATTAATATCGCGCCAATTAAATTTTCTACAACTATAGTTTTTTTCAATTAATTTTAAATAAAATTTTCTCTTTCTTTAATGACATTAATGTATCGTTAGAAATTTAAAAATTATATATATAGGTATGAAATTAATCAAACGTTTTTAACAAGTGTTTAATAATGAAAAAGAGATTTTTATAGCTTGTATATCACCAAAGAGAAAAAAAATACGAAAATAAATTTTTTACTATATCTTTTTTCAAATTTTCAGAATATTTAATCAAGTTCTCGTCAATGTTTATTGAATGCAAAAGAAAAGCTATTGAGAAAAGCTTAAATTATCCTTAAAATCCATATATAGAAAAATTTAAGAATTTTGTCTCTTCAACGTTTAAGGTCCAAAACGATTCTTTTACCGCGCAGCATATTTTTTTTACTCTCGTGTAAATTATATTGAAGCGCAACAGTTGTACCGAAAAACGAAAAATTTGCACGCGCGCGAGAAATATCGCGAGTTAATCAGCTCAGACGCGAAAAAAAGGATACGATCATCCGTTCACCCGTGCATGTTCCTCGATACAACTCTTCTGGCCGGGCGTACTTTTATGGCGTACCCCCGTCGTCAAATTCTCGACAGTCCGCCGCGACCGAAAGGAATTACCATATAGGTGCACGTGTGCAGGCGGGCAAACGAACCTTGTTCGTCCTCCGTCTCGACCTTCTCCGCCCTTCCAGCGCTTTTCTTCGATCCTCTCTCCGCTCTCTCTTTCTCTTAACCGCTCGACGAGGCTTTAAGATAAAGTCTGTCGGGTCTGTCGAAGGACCGACCGCTAATTTCGTACTGTCTATCCTCTCGTTTTTCGTCTCTCACATGTATAACATTACGCGACATATTTTACGACGGTTGTTTCCTTCGTTCCTGTTACTAGGAATTTCGGAAGTCTCGAGGTCAAACGTTGGACCGAGGTTTCATAGATAAATATGATTGCGATCGTAATATTTAAGCGATACGATTCGTTCGATTATCGCTAAAAATTGCCGCGTGCTTTAAAAAGGAAGAAATAAATTTCCTTTACGACCGAATTGAAAGACAATTTCAGCCACGGTATTTAGATACACTTCCTCGACTGCGTCGCGTTAGAAGCCTATCATTTCTTTTCTTCGAAAAAAAGGGGATTATGGAGCTCGCAAGGGGCTTAACAGCTTTACAACTTAAAAATCTGGTCACCGCCGTGCGCAGACACAATCCGGCCCTCTCCTGAAATTACGGAAGCCATTACGGGTGTTATCGGCGCGCTTTACCTTTTACGACTAACGTTTCAATAGAGCGCGAGAGGAGGCGAGAACGATGGATAGAATATTTCGTCGTCTCTCTCTCTCTCTCTCCTTCTCTCGCTCAAATTCAAACGCGCCTGGATACGAGACGCGTGGGCCCAAACATACATCGTCCACTTTAGATTTATCTCGTTCCAAGTGTTGGAGAGACGACACGAGGATCTCTCTCGCGCGCTGCGTCACGTGGGCGAGGAAGAGCCCTGCGGGGTCGGGCGATGGCGACGACCAAGATCAAACGGAAAAGCGTGCACATGCCTTATCTCCCTCCTCCCCGCTCGCCTTCCGATGCTAAACTATCTAACTGTTCGTGCCGACACCCACTCGTCCATTGCAGTTTCTCCGATAAGCTCTTGCTCGTACCATTACATGTGCTTATTGATATGTTCATTTCATTTGACATATACGTCAATGGCTTTTACGACTTTGCATCTGGCTGCACGTGCAAAGTCGATAACTTTGAAATTACCCGAATCTCTCAAAGAATTTTATGTTAAAAAGTGATGCGCGAGAGAGAAAGATATTAATTTTTTTATATAGTATTAATAATGTTACGTGTTAATTTAAAGCAACACTAGTCTAATCTAATCACGAGTTAATCATTTACGGATTAGTTTGCTATTATCACAAAAAGTAGTTGATACAAAATACACCTTTCACGAAAATAAAATCTTGAAAATTGCATTTTTTTTCCATCAGATGAGTCGATATACGGTCGCGATGAAAGTTCTCAGTTGAATAAATAATTCTAAGAATAGTTTGCGAATAAAAAATCCAAAAATGTAGCGGGAAAATAATTCCTACAAAAAATTAAAACGTTGCAGGGAGATAATTTGAAGACAACCTAGAAATTATACCTAAAGCAATGAAAGAAGAGAGGAATTCCTAGAAAGAAGTATAGCGAGCCTCGACCTTGGCACAAAAGTGTGCACGCTATTCGAAGGCCGATCCTTTCTCGGCGCAAAATGGGAATTTACAGAGATGCAACTGCATCGCCTAACCGAAGGGCTTAGCTGCGTTCTGCGAAAATCATTAGATTACATAAGCTGCGTCCATCTATGTGCGTATGTGTGTGTGTCACGTCACCGTAAGCTCCACATGGTGATGCAAAATTATTATCTACGACACGCGTATTCAAATTTGATGGAATTATTCCGCAAGAGATACGGCTTTCGCAACTTGATTGTAATGGGTGTACATACAATGATACATGTATAATTGCATGTGTATGTGTGTAAGCGTTATGTTCGAGATGGGCGTGATGAAGAAATATTAATACTAAACGTTTCTGTATCGCGATCTAATATATTTGCGCACATATTGCCCTCGCAAAATATTTACATTGCAACTTTTGCGCATAACTTAATCATATGTATATACGTATAATTCTATATAACGTTATATCAAAGACACAAACATTTAATTTCTCATTCCTTCCATATAAAATTAATATTAAATTATTTTCGCGTATTATACGCGTGTTCTAAAAAGGTATGTCAAAAATTTAAGGAGATATTCCTCACACCTAAAGGATGAAAAAATGTTATATGGATATAGGTGCGGAAATGCTTATTTCAAGAGTTAAAATACTGTTGAAAATATTGTTAGCTGTATTACTTACACAAGGAAAAGGATTAATTATTGTAGACGACAATCGTTTAATTAGGCTTATTTACATTTAGTTTTAATGCGACCTTGAGTATGTTACAATAAATGTTGAAAATGTTCACCATTTTCCTGAATACAAGCAATGACACGTCGACGATCCGATAGACTTTTTATTTGTGAGGACATTTAAAGACAATTGTACATGCTACACCAGTGCGTGATATTCAAGATCTTCGTGACCGTATAACTACAGGTTGCCAGACAATCCGCTGTACGCCAGGCATTTTTGAACGTGTCCGTGAATCGATGCGTTGACGTGTCACTGCTTGTAT